TAGTTATCTGTGGAGACATCCAGGATCCAGAATTTGGCAGAAGAGAAAAAAGGAGAACATGGCCAACTTAGAATTTACCAAATTCCTGTCAACCCAGAGGGGCAGGGCAGGAGAGGAAGCTGTACCTGACGCTGCAGCAAGCTTCTTCCCACAGGGTTAGGGAGTTGACCTCATCTAGTAGCCCTAGTTGCCAAGACTAGTAAAAAGGAAGTCCTTAGATTTGTGGTCAGTGCTCGGAATCAAGGCGTCTCTCCTGTCCAGCCTGAGCGTTTGTTTGGTGAAGTGTGAGTGTGTGCCCCGAGACTGTGCGTGCTGCCAGGGTTGCCTCCTGGACTCAAAGGGGACAGAGCCTGACTGTTCTCCCTGATGTTCTGGCTCACCCGGGGAGAGGGAATGAAGCTCCAACCATCTCAGAGAGTCAGCTAAAGGGTGTCCCTGTGGCTCTGGGTTGATGGTTCTCACAGGGCAGGCTCCAAGTACTTCTGCAAAGGCCAGGATCATATTTTTAGGATTAACAAACTAAGGCCCCAAAGACTGGCTTCAGGGTCTAGTCAACATGTGGCTGGGATGAGATACTAAAGATACTAATTGCCACCAAAGCCAAGCGAGTCCTTTTCCCCACCATATATTTATTTGTTTTTGAGATAGGGTTTCACTCTGTAGCCCTGGCTGTTCTGGAACTAGCTCTGTAGACCAGCTGGCCTCGAACTCACAGAGATCTGCCTGCCACTGCCTCCCGAGTCCTGGGATTAATGACATGTTCCACTATGCCTAGCTATAAATTAACCTTTTAAATGCCCAGAACAGCTCCTGCCCATAGAGTGTTGTAGTTGACTAGGTTTTTTGTTTGTTTGTTTGTTTTTTTAAAACTCTTTGCTGTCTGGGGACCTGCCATCCAGCTCCCAAATAAATACTCAGAGGACTTACTCTTATTTATAAATTCCTGGCCTTAACTTGGCTTATTTCTAGCCAGCTTTTCTTAACTTAAAATATCCCATCTACCTTTTACCTTTCTCTATTCTCTATTCCTTTCTTTCCTCCTTCCTCTGTGGCTGGTTGTGTGGCTGGCCCCTGGTGTCCTCCTCTCCTCTTTTTCTTGCTCCCCTCTCCTCTCTCAAACCTAGATTTCTCCCTCCATTATTCTCTCTGCCTGGCAGCTCCACCTATCCCTCTCCTGCCTAGCTATTGGCCGTTCAGCTCTTTATTAGACCAATCAGGTGTTTTAGACAGGCAAAGTAACACAGCTTCACAGAGTTAAACAAATACAACATAAAAGAATGCAGCTCATCTTTGCATCATTAAACAAATACTCCACAGCATAAACGAATGAACACATCTTAAGCTAATATTCCACAACAGATTGTACCATGTATGCGTCTGTTAAATCAACAAAAATGAAGCATAGATCAAGGAGAGAGCTGGATCTCTGTCAACCTCATGGCTTTCTCCGACCATGTGCTAGCCATCTGCAATGAACAGTAAAGGAAAACAAAGGGGGGACCAGGACATGCTGCTGACTGTCAAAGCCACCACCAAGTCCAGCGGCTTCCATGGTGCCAGTGTTGAGCATCATAGAAACAGAGCTTGTGGGCCAGACCGGGCTCCTCAACCTTTCCCACCCTGAGCCCTGTACAGAGAACCTGTTACACAACCGTAGGCACATAGGAATATAAAGTAGGTATACAAACCAAACACTGATAATAAATCATAAAGGAATTTATTTAAAATAATTCTCTGGGAGCCATATAATTCCCCGTTAAAGACTAAAGCAAATTTGCACATTAATGAGATGAATGTACCTGTTTATGTTTACAGAAAGAATTAAACCGTGACTGAATCTGTGATACTCTAGGGTAGAGCATCTCCAACAATTTTTTTTTTAAAATCTCCAGTGTCGAGACCGTCACTTCACATAAATATATAACACAAAACGACAGAAGCGTGTTTGTTTAAGGCTATTTCAAATTATTGGAGTGTCTGTCCTGATCCCAAGCCAAAATTCCTTTAATGATTTCTGGTTTTGGAAAAGGGTCTCCCTATGTAGATCAGGCTAGCCTCAAACTCTCAAGAGGTCTGCCTGCTTCTGCTTTTGAGTTCTGGGCTTTAACAATTTCTAAATGAAAATTTTCAGCATCTTAATGAGCAATTTAAAAAACCAAACAATCTAATATATTGCAGTCTAAAGATATACTAATTTAATATGTATATCTTTATACATATTAGGAAAGATAGAAAAACAGTCAACGTTTCTGTTTCCCATAGTTAAACCATACTGTTTTTCTAACAGGAGAAAAGTTTGCTTACAGAATAGAAACACTGCAATTCATTAACATTTCCGTGTCTCAACTTTGAGCCAAGGTGTTTTAGGAAGTGTCCATTGGTATTGCGTGGCGTGACAGCCTGTGTTCAGATCCAAGGCTACGGTGAAGTTGGGAGATGCAACATGATTTATTACACGTTTGATATTTGTGGGTGTGGCACCAGAGACGGAGCCTAGGGCTTCGCACATGCTTAGGCAAGTGTTTTCTCCCCTGATCTACCCCCAGCCCTCTTTTCACCCTTCTTCTGTGGTTTTTGATGTGTGTTCACATGCCAGTGGAGACCAGAGATCAATGTCAGGCATTTTCCTTAATCATTCTCCAACTTGCATTTTGAAACAGAGCCTCTCACGGCACCCGAGCTAACCAACCAACCAGCTAACCAACCAACCAGCAAGCCCCAGGAAGCTGCCTGTCCCTGCCTGCCTAGCTTTTTACAGGGTGCTAGGGGGTCAAACTCAGGTCCTCATGCTTCTGTGGCCAGCACTGTACACGCTGAGCCACCTTCCCAGCCCCGTGAATTTATTTGTTTCGTGTTCAGTAACCTCTAGCCAGACTTTTCCTCACCCTCACTCTAAGTGATGATGCAGAGAAACCACCGAACTAGACTGCTCTGCAGCTAGAGAGAAGGTTGGTTGGGGATCAAACGCCAAGTCCATCTCAGGAGGCATTCATTCCATGACCTCCCAGTGTGTCTTCTGTTGCTATGACAAACACCAAAGGCAACTTGGGGAGGAAAGGGATAATTACGTCTTCCAGGTCAGGGTCCACAATCAAGAGACCCTGCAGCAGGAACTCGGGGAAGGAACCTGGATGCAGGAGCCGAAACAGAACCACGGAGAGACGCTGCCTATTATCCTGTTCTCCTCCGCTCGCTCAGCTTGCTTTTTTAAATACAACCCAGAACCACCTGCCAGGGGTACCATTGTCCATAGTGGGCTGCTATTCATTAATCATATTAATTCATATTAATTAATTCATAATTCATATTAACCAAGAAAATGCCCTTCCAAACTTGCCTACAGGCCAGTCTGATCAAAGCGTTTTCTCAATTAAGGTTGCCTCTTCCCAGATTACCCCCAGCTCCTGTTGGGTTGACCAAAATCCTAACAAGCACAATGACCCCCATATGAGATTGCGGTTCACGGTGTAAGAAGCTAGGCAGGTGGAAGAGACCACCCAGGTCCCCCTCGATGATCCTCCCCCTCGATGATCCTCCGTGAGAGTCAAGGAGTCCCTGCCTCTCCTGAGGCCTCATGCACAGGGTTGTGTTTTTGTGCATACTTGGGGGCATATGACCGTTGTTTTCATCAACTGTGGGATTGTTCTGCTCTGAGGAAGCTGCCGAGTCACTGGTGTAGAAGACAACTTGAGGCAGGGATGGGCTCGGAAAGCCTGGTGCTCCGGGCTTCATCTCAGCTGCTGTGACCACCTGGCTTCTTGACTCATTCCGACCTCCCTCAGTTCTTCTCTTGGGACGCTTGAGGGATGGCAGTCTATATGTGCAACCAACAAGGTCTTCTGGCCCCGTCACCCCAGGGGAATCAGCCTTTCTGATGTCACACACACACACACACACACACACACACACACCGCCTGTGGAGCACCTTTTAGGATGGCACAGTGTCTCCACCATCTCTACAGGCTCTACCCAGGAGAAGGCAGGCAGTTTCCTCTGCCCCTTCCATTGCCTAAGCACAGGTTGGATTGTGGGGTGGAAGAGGCTTGGCCCTGGAGGAGCAAGCTCAGCCCTGAGTGGTCCACACCACATGGCCTATTTCACCTTTAGGATGGGTCTGTTTCAGTGCCAAGCTTGGGAACACTGCCTGATCCTGCCTCCCTGCCTTCCAGGCCAGTGCCAGGATTGGCCTTGCCTCCCATAAAAGAGCCTTTGCGGGGGTAGTTTCCAAAGTTCATTTTCATATTCTAGAATTTATTCTCTCCAAATTGTTACCCGAACGACTAAGAATATAGAGCAGAAGCTGCACAGGCCCTCACCTGCTTTCCACCCCCGGACTCCTCTGAGGCCTCAGGAGGGGGTGCCGGAACTTCTCTGGAATACCTCCTGCCATCATGCCCATCTGTCGGTATTTGTGATTTGGGCAGCCCAAGCCCGCCCCAGGCTGCCCCTGGCTTTTGTAGCGCACTTTGGGAGATAGGGGCACGCCTGCCCTCTGGTGGCAACTCCAGGAATGACATCACCCCGGGGCTTTGATTTCCCCAAGGCCACCAGAAAGTAATTTTTCTCATGCTGGCTTCAACCCAATACGTTCCGTGATCTTTAGTTAACCGCTCAGGGATCTTTAGAAACGGGAAATATTTCCTCCTCTTGCCACGAACACACACTCTCCTTGCAATGACCGAGTCACTTGCATTTCACAGGAAGTATTACCAGCTATTCGGGACCCCAAACCTGGAGCCAGCCAGGAACCTGCAGTTTTAGCATCACTGTTCCGGTTCCCACTGGAGCGCTCTGCCGAGAAGCCCAGGTCCTTGCTCCTATGGAGTTGTACTGCCCTGTCCAGGTCTCTCTTGTTCAAACCGGAGCCACAGGCAAGCCTCCTGGGCTTCGTGCTGAGCTGGTTGTGGCCCCCTTACGGTCACCAATATCTCTGTCCTGCCCCCACCTGTCCATTCTCCGTAATACCTGTCACCTGTAAGGACAGCTCTCGCCCGCCTCACCTGGGCTCTCACTGAAATGCAGCGCCAAATGCAGTGGATGTTGAGGAGGACACAGCTTCCAGAACTCAGTGGGTGCCCCAGGTGATGAAGATTCAGGACAGTGGGGCTACACCTTGGAATCACCCCAGGAAGTTAGACCGTGGTCCTGACCCGGAAGTGGGTAGGGCTTGAACCTTGGGGCTTTACAACAACCTCTGACCTGGATGCAGATCCCAACACCCCCCCCCAGGCCCCCCTGCTCTGACACATCCACCCGCAGTGGTCCCTTTTTAGATGGTCTTCCTTTGTCCGTATCTCTTAAGTCCCTGCTGAGTTGTGGGGGTCACTGGGAGGAAAGAGGTTCCCCCAGTAGGTGTGATATCACCAGTGATACAGATGCCACCTCCTTGTGCAGCCAGGGGACAGACACTCCCAGGCTGATGTAGTCGGAGGCAGCTGAGGGCCAAGCTCTGGTTGGACACACGTAAGCTGCCATGATTAGAAATACAGGACCTGAATAGATAGGCTTGGCTTTGCACCTGCTTTGGGGTTTGGGGGACATCTATAGGGTGTGGGTGCTCCTCTCCAAATAGGTTGTACCAGAAAGCCTTTGCCCAGTGGGAATGAGGACTCTCCCATGGTTAGCTATATGGCGCCCCCTCCCCTAGACTTCCTCAACTATATATTCTAGCCCCATGCAGTTTGGGCAGGGTTGGTAGGGAGCAGCTGGATACTCAGGTGAGGGTCCCATGTCCTTCCCACCCCTTGATGAGGGCATGGAACAGTCAAGAAGTCCTGCTGGAGTGATAGTTTTCAAGCAAGCAAGCTTAGGAGGACAGGGTGGCAAGCGAGGCCCAGGGGATGGCCCTGTATACCTCAGCACCTGGTTTTAAATGTCTGCTCAATTCTTCACCATCCTGAGTCCTGCACCAGCTCTGGGTTTCCCTGCTAATGCCCCCGTCACCTTATAGCACCTTATAACTGGTTTGAGTTCCTCTTTCCCACTACAATGTCACCAGTTTTGCTGACTTGGGACACAGGGCCCACCTAGCCCATACTGGGGTCACAGCATCCTTTGACATCCAGATCTGCCCCTGCCTCCTTTTTGAGGCCTTCCATCTGATCCCCTCTGTGGCTCGGGCTAACCTCAGATCGCCGCAGGTGACTCCAGGCCTGCCCACACCTCTTTCAACAGCAAAGTCAGCATATTTTCACACTGAGACAAGCTGCAGCCAGACAGTACTTTTCCTCCCCTCTGCTTGGGGGCTCTCCTCTGGGGCAGAGAGAGCAGCAGGCTCTCAGAGTGCATCTCACGCTCAGCAGATGTACAAGACAGAGGGCCGAAGGATGCCCAGCTGCTTCCCCTGACCACGAGGGTGGAACCTCCTGTTCACCACTGGACGTCACCCAGGGCCGACAGTCTCCCCAGCTGTCTGTTTTATTTATAGCTTCCAAAGCTGCTTGGCTCCCATTTCAAATGACAATGAAATGGCACCAGGGTTAGCGGCCGGCCACTAACGGTGGATGTGGAACTGGAGCTGAGGGGTCTTTGTGCCCTGGAAGAAAAGGCATGCACTGGAAGACCACAGGGTGGGAAGGGCACAACACCGCATTTCCACAAGGCCCAGGCTGAAGGCTGGGCACAAACTGAGAGGTATGAAAGGTGCAGACAGGGCCAGGCAGAAGGGGAGATTGGTGTGGCACCCGGGAAAAATTACAGAGCAGGTAGGACTGGGCCGGGGGTGGGGGGAGTGTGAGGAGGGTGGACGGACAGAGTTCTCAACAGCCAAGAGTGTTCGCTGCAGGAAAGCCTCTGCCGAGAGTGGCGCCCGCCTGTGAGCAGCGGCCTTCCGCTTCTGACGCCTCCAAGTGGTTGGGAACAGGTTGTCCTCCAGCGAGCGAGCGCGAGGTAGAGGCTTCACTGTCCAGGACTCCCCTCTGCCTCTCATGATGACAGCTGGCCTCGGGGGTTTTCCTCTAGATTTCTCTGGCTCCTCAAGGTGTCCCAGCGTTGTGTAGCCTCGAGAAAAGGCTATTTATCACTCAGAAAGTACTTCTCCTGGCTGCTAGGGCTCTTTTGTTTTCTCTCTCGGAGTACAACTGAGAAAATCAACCTTGGGCTTCTGGGAGTATTGCTTTTTCAAATACTGTGATGGTCCTCTTTCTTCATCCGTACGTTTCTCCGACTATATTACAGTCACTCTCACTCAGGCTCTGAGTTTACCAGACCTAGCAGAGAGCAACACACAGGGCCCTGTAAAGTTTGAATGACGTGTGTGTGTGTGTGTGTGTGTGTGTGTGTGTGTGTGTGTGTGTGTGTGTGTGTGTTTAGTAGGTGCCTTCTATGCAATATCTGGGATATACTTATATACTTGTGTTAGGAAGTTGTTTGTTGTTATCTGAAATTTGAATTTATCTAGAATTTATCTACTGAGCTCTTTGGGTTGACCTCTGGAGCCTGCAAACAACAACAACAAATGAGAAGTGTGGTCAGTGCAGTGCATTTTAAGTTTCGCCTGTAAGGGGCCATGCAGACCCCATCGTTGGTCTTTGTGATTTAGCTCCCACTGGGCTTTTAGCCCTGCTTTCCATTTGCCTCTTAAAGAGAAGCCTTCGCTTCTGACCTAGCCAGTCTCCTCCTCTCTCACTCCATACTCTTGGCCTTTGTAGGAACTCATGTCAGTCATTTTCCCCCATCCACAATGACCTACTTAGCTTCCTCCATCATGCTGAGGTCTCCAAGCATCTCTTTCTGGAACCTGCTTCCTGAGTCTGGAGAGGACCATGTCTGGTCTTTGCGTCACCACTGAGCCAAGGATAGAGACCATCAATCATTCCCATAGGTATTAGAAATATCCAGAGAGACTTCAGCAAGCCCCATTTCCTGGCAGGTTTCTTCAAGACTGTCACCTCTGGCGTTCAAGCTTTCTCTGAACAAACTATGAGGAAGATGTCACCAGTGTCCACATCATTTTTTCTGAGAGTGCTAAAAAGCAGAGCTGCCTTCCCAGCCCATTGACACCTGAGTATTCAAGAGGAGGACACTGGTCCTCCCTGCAGCAGGCTGCAGCAGACTGACTCCCTCTGGATGGGAAGGATGTGGGCATGGTCAAGCATTTGGGCCATCAGATATTATTATCGTGACCATCAGTACCATCATCACCATCAGCAACAGCATCACCCTCAGTATCATCATCATCATCATCATCATCATCATCATCATGATGTCATTTCAGCCACACCGTGTTTTCAGGTCAGATACATTCTTTCGTTTAGCTTTCAACAACTCTACAAGCTAACAATATTATCCTTTACTTTCTAAATGGGGAAGTAGAGTCCCAGAGTGATCTGCTGTCTTTGCACATGATCCTAGGGCAATGGGGTAGACCCCAAAGTAAAGACTTCCCTGGCTTATCTCAGCCCGTTTAGGGTGTATAATTCTTACTAAAAACAGCCGGGCAGGCAGGGACAGGTCATAAACAACCAAATCAGTGTGGTTTGAGTGCAGCGCCCTCTTGTGTTCCTCAGGGGTGGGGATCTAGAACCCTGAGAGGCTCAGCCGCTCTGAGCTCCTGTGGCCTCCTGCCTACTCCCGACCTACTCAGGAGAGTCTATCCTCAGGGGCCTCCACTCCCCTATAAATGTCTCCTAAAAGACAGCCATCCACAGAGTGTGAGTCGCACCTGGTGCTCTGTGACCAGAGGCAGCCCCGACCTAACCAGTTTGGTAAACACAGATGCCATTCTTGTGGAGCACAGTAAAGGGACTGGAATATCCCACAAATAAATGACCATTGAAAATGGACCCAGATTTTCCCAAACTTACGCAATTATAGAATTTTGTGTGTGGGGGGGGTGTGTGTGTCAAGTAACAGCTATTAACACTCTGCAGACCCAGTGTCCAGATAATCTGTTCTGATAAGCAGGGAATCAATCCAACACTTTCGTTTATAGCTGAAAAAGTCGAATTCCATCCACTGGGTGCTTCACCATATTTGCTGAGTATAAACAGAGATTTCCCCAAATGCCAGCACGTGGGCTGGGTTCCGAGAGGCACAGAAATGTGGTGACAACAGCTTGTCCTGTGGCTCTTGCCCCCCCCTCCCCCTGGGCAAGTTTGACTCCCCTGTGGGTGTGAGGTTCACACCCATTTCTGAGCTGAGAAGCCTGAATCCCAGAGAGTTCCCGTAAGTTCCCAAAGCCACCCTGTAAACGCAGCCGCTGCGTCCCTTAATGAGATTGTTTTACTCTCGGGACTTCACGCAGTGGCCTCTGGAGTAAGCTCTGTCTCTCAGGAAGCCCTGCTGCGGATGTAGCTCAGTGGTGGCGTGCTTGCTTAGTTTCGCAAGGCCCTGCCTTCCCTCCCCAGCACAGCCTTACAGAACGAAATAACATCATGGTGAGCCCAGGCCACCCCACACTGGGGGTGGGGGGTGGGGGGGAGCCAGGCTGGTTGATTTGAGGCAAGGCTGTGGCCAAGGTCTCTCCCCTCAGCCCCTGGGCCTCTCTTCTCCTCGCTTTTGTCCCTGCAGGTCTAACTGGCTGAAGCCGTGCTGTGGGAAGAGAGCAGCCCTGTGGCAGGTATTTTTGCTCAGTGCGGGTCTCAACAGTTTCCTGGTAGCCTGTGTAATATTGGTGGTGATTCTCCTGACTCTGGAACTTCTAATAGATATAAAGCTTCTCCAGTGTGAGTAGCCAGAGAGATACATATGCAAATACATGTGTCAATATATTCACTGTGCATCTGCATCCCTCAGGGGTCCCCAACCTGCAGACTGGGATCGTCCCCCAGTGTGGGCCACCGCCAAGCTGCTGGCCCCACGACAGCCCATGGGGGTTGCCCCTGGGGAGGGGACACGTTTGGCAGCTTCTCTGTCACTATCAACGTGGCTTCGTCTCCTGTCCAATGTGGCCTCTTCAGTGCCCCCTTCCCAGCGTTCCATAATCAGAAACTGATGAGACAAAAGGAAAAGTTGGGGACCCCTGTATGCATCTTTTTTTTTTTTTCTATATTGTTCTCATTTGGAATTTTCCAGGGTGAGATTTTTTTTTCTGGCATAAACAGTTCCGTTTTGGGAAGTTGATCACTGGTAGTCACTAGCCAGCAGCTGCAGGGCTGGTGTAGGTACCAGCCTGAAGCGGGCAGCACCATCTACACGTGCCCTGATAGCGTTAGACATGCTTTTCCACACCTACACCTTCAACCCTGCCCGCAACCCTGTGGTGCCCAGGACGGGTAGGACAGGACCCCGTTTTACAGAAAAAGCAGACAAATTAAAGTTTGTGGGACAAAGGCTCAGCCACCCCCCAAAACCCATTTTGTTCTTTGTTTTCTCAAAATGCCCCAAATCCTAACTGGATCTTCAATGCTCAGGGGTTGTCACGGCTCCCTCCAAGACACACCCGCCTTGTCTGCTCTCTGAGAGAGCACAGAATTGCTTTTGTCTGCTAAGCCTAGTTGGGTTTTATGTAGCTGGTGGCCCCTTGGTTCCAATTAAAGTATCTTCCAGCATTAAGTGGCCAGTACTGGTTTTACACTCAGCCTGTCTTCAATTAAACCATGCTGTAGGCTTTCCCCCTTCGCATCCAGACTGTCTGTGTTTTATGAGACCTGACCATAACGGAACCCTTCTTTCCCTATGGTGGGCTGTACTGAGGCCCTGAGCTTTTCCGGTTGTGATGAGGCATCGGGTAGAACTGAGAACCCAGCCGACACTGGAATTTTGCTTAAAATTAAGTATCCAGGAGATTGATTTTGGTGGGAGATCCAATAGCAGCTCATAAAAGGCATCTTAAATTCCATAAAACGCACAATCCGAGATTTATTGCTCTTCTAAAGCAAACCGTAAAAAAGGCACAGGAATTCATTTGAGAAATAATGGGGAGAGATTTTATGTTTCCAGAATCATCTGAGGTCTTTTCAGAGTCACACAGGCCTTGGATTCTTGGTTCCCACTGGTATTCATGTGGCTCAGAATGAGGAGGAATTCATGGTGTCTCCAGGGCTCATCCTTCGAGGGTCATACTGGCCCTGAGCCAGGGAACCTCCTGGAACCCAGAACTGCAACCTTCCTCCTGGATTTGCTTGAAGACCTCATTTTTACCCACTCCCAGAGTTCACAGATTCTAAAACATTGGGAATTCCAGCCCTACCCAAAGAAGATATCTTTCTTTGACCCCAGGGGTCAGCTGAACAGCTTGAAACAGGCCCTCTAGAGAGAGAGTCAACATGACCTGTTTGCTACAACACCCCTTCCTCCTGCCCTCAAAGTTCCCTTGATCCATCCAGAGGATTCCCTCTGGGGACCATTTTTCCCTGTTTCTACCAAGGTCACCCCACCATTGCCCTGGACTCCATTGCCCTGGACTCCATTGCCCTGGACTAGCCTCCCTAGTACCTAAACTGCGACCCGCTAGTGTTTGGAGTCTATGGTGTCCTGTCCTTTAGAGTGACTGACTAGCTGAGATAGAGTAAGGAGCCATCAGTGCTGGCCTTCCCCTTGTGGACCTGGAAGGTACTTTTGTTGTCCCAGCCGGCAGACTCTGCTGCCTTTACCCATCAGCTCCCCGGGGCCAGACATCACTCCAGCCATCTTTCCAGAGCACGCCACTGTCACCACCGTCTCCAGTTCCGCAGGTTCAGAATGGAAGGGCAGAGGCTTACCCAGAGCCCCACACAAAGTGCGCTGAGCTGTGGGGCTGGTGTGCTGTGGATCTGGAAGCTGCCCACTCAGGTCCACAGCCTTGCTGTGGTCGTGACCCCTCCTCCCCTGGGTCTGGCCATGACACAAAGGACAATAGCAGTGAACAGGAGGAACCAAAGAACAGAAGAGCGTTTGGGTCACCATGCTCCTACCACCTCCACGTAACCACTGGTTGTAGCTACCCTTGCTCTCCGACCCAGTTTCTAACAGATCCAAAGGTGTCTGCAAGCACCCAGGGGTCCCCAGAGGTCCGCCTCCATGCCACAAAGCCCCCTGGACTGATGGACTCAATTCTTTGCTCCTAAACCTGGCCTCACTGTGTTCATTGCAGTTTCCAGTGCATTCCAGTTTGCTGGTGTCATTCACTGGATCAGTCTGGTCATCCTCTCTGTGTTCTTCTCAGAGGTAGGTAAAGATTCGGGCCCTGAAGTCTCCTTGGGGTGACTCATTCCCGGGAAACCCGGGTTTCATTTCACTGTACATCCCCTAATGTCAGGCCCCCCGCTGTCCCTGAGGCTGAATTTCACCATACGATACAGCACAAGGAATGTCTACGGACACAGACACACAGGCTGGTGGCCACCTCTGATGGAGAGATTTGTCTCTAAGCAGGTGACCGCTGCTCAGAATCCAGAACATGCGCAGGGGTTGCCAAGTGCGGTCCGGGTAATGGGTTTGTGTAGGTAAGACAGTGCATGACGTAGCTGAAGGGCAGAAGTTGCGTCGCCAGCGATGAGTATACAGGAGGCCAGGCCCAGGGAAACCAAATGCAGAAGCAGTTAGGATTTGCTTGCTTCAGGGCCGAGGCAGTGGACTTGACCAGGTCCTGTAGAAGGGTGGAGTCCCAGCTGGCAGGTGTCCCTGGGGTAACAGAGGACTATGCTTCTGAAGTGCCTTAGACAGACGTTTCCTGGTATTGCTGGGGTTGATGGCTGAAGTCCATGTCTGAAAAGCTAAATGTCTCCTAGTCCCTGGGTCTAGTGTGGGAGTAGAACAGACCCACATGGCTCCTGGGTCATTTGACAAACCTCGACACCAGGGCAGGCCTTGATTTTTCCATGGGGAGTGACGTCTCCTGAGCGGTCCTCAAGCCATCAGTGATACCGTGGCCTGTGCTTGGAGGATACTGGCTTGCAGCTGTTTCAGATAGGACCTCCTAGAAGGATGGGAGGGCTGTGGGCAGTGAAGGGCAGAGAGTTTTGTGTGGAACCATTTCTTCCAAATAGAGCCAAGGACTGACTAGGTCAGCTGGCCACTGGCCACTCTACCTGGCTGTCCTCACCTTCCGCCACAGGTACACATCTGCCCACAAAGAGCCCTGTAGCAACTTTCAATGGAAGATAAACACAAATAAGTTACAGAGCCTACTGGGAATGCACGGGCATGGGTGCACACATGCGGCTGCTTGTACACTGGAGAGAACACGGCACAGGCTGAGAGGGAGGGAGTGAGCCTGGAGAAGAGAGAGAGCGCGGGCGAGGCTGTAGAATGAGAGAGTTTATGTTATGGCCAAAGGACCCAAGAGGCTGAATCCCAGGGCCTTCTCTGGTCCAGCCAATAGCTCTGCTATCTCCCTATAATTCAAAGGAGGTCTAGGCCTTAGCCTTCTAGTTCAGAATGCTGGGTCTGGGTGGGGCCGGGCAGGGTAGCAGGCATTCCAAGTGTAGATAGAACACCGTCTTCCCCAGACCTTGACTCCTGTAGCTCATAGAACTGTCCAGGAAGCTTCCTAACCAGCTAACTGAGGCCACTGATGGTGCTCAGGTGCTTGGAGGAGGCTGACGAGTGGTCTGGGATCCCCAGAGGGTCCAGCCCTGCCTGGCCCCTCATCTCCGCTTGCTAGGATCCCTCCTGCAAATCCCTGGGCCAGGGCCAGATGTCTCCTTGATGCAAACCTTGGAAAATGTGCCCATGCCTGTGACTGCCAACAAAAATGTTTAACCAGTTGCTGTGGTTCTTCCCTCTAGCCCTCTGCTTTGGTTTTATTGGCTTTTTGCAGAATTTATTGCCCAGCGTTAATTTGGCATTCCCTTCCTGTCCCTGCCAGAGACAAACCACCTGAAACAGACAAGCTCCTGTGTGCGGGAAGAGAAGTCTCAGAGGCCTGACAGCCAACCCCCACAAAGTGGAGAAGGGGCTGAGCGTCCCACAGACTTGGCTTTCTCTGCAGAGCCTGTGGGGATGAGGAGAAGGGCTAGTCCCTGGCCTTGGACCTTGTCATAGGTGGGGAGGGTAGAATGGAGCTAGGCTATGAACACAGAGGAGAAAACTCTTCCCATATAGTCTGCCCAGCATGAATGAGGCTGTGTACAGTGTACAGTGATCTGCTGAGGCATCCTGGCTAACAAAGGTGGGCTTCTATAGACTCACAGAGCATGAAAACCAAGCATCAAAACCTTGGTGCCAACAAGCTCTCAGATGTCCCCACAGCATAGCATTGGTGAATACGGGTCATTTGTGCCCTTGCAATGAATGACTGGGGTACCTCTAACAGAAAGATCCAGAGAGCCCAGGATCCCTCTGAAGTGTATCAGGCCTGCGTATTTGCCTGTCAGAATGCTAGTGTGGGCCTTTTGAAACACTACATAGGGCCAGGATGTAGCTTAGTTGGTACAGAGCTGACCTAGCATGCAGAATCCTGAGATCGAATTCCAGCACTCCATAAGCCAGGTGTCGTAGTGAGTGCCTGTCATCCCAGCTCTCAGAAGGCAGAGGCAGAATGAACTGAAGGTCAGAGTAATCTCCTGCTACAGAGAAAGTTCAAGGAACAGCCAGGGATCCACGAGACCTTGTCTCAAAACACACACAAGCACGTTCGTGCACACACACACACTATATATATATGACGGTTGTGACTGGATGACTGGACCTAGCTCTCTGGGCATCTAACCTGTCTTTCTTGTCACTGCCTTCTAGGAGCCTGGCATTGGCAGGTTGAGAAGAAATCAGGAATCTGGGGGAAAGATCAGGGCCAAGGCCAGGCAGAGAAAAGGGGTCTAACCAAGCAAGGCCTCTGAGCACAAATCGGGGGTAGCCAGCCCTCTCTCCTCATCTGGGAGGAACAGCAGTGTCCTCCTTTAGTTCTGGCCCCTTCTTTCTCTGGAACAGACTCAGGGGTGAGCTGAGAGCCAGGGGTCTCTTGAGAAGTCATGGCTTACCTTCTCTGGCTAGCGAGAGGACCGCCTTACTCAGGCGCGTTCCACACAGGTGGACTGCCGAGGGCTGCGGCCACCCCAGGGCCCTTGGCCTGTTTCTGAGCATTGCTCCACCCTAGTTTCAACCGGGCCTTAGGGAAGGTGACAGGCCACGTTACAGTTTGGAAAACTGAGACCTGGAGAGGTGGAGAAAACTGTCCAGAGTTCACGAGGATAAGTCAGACACAGGCCTCTGGTGGGTGAGCCGTCCTCTGCCCTATCTTCAATGCCCCAGGAAGATGGGGCACTTTGTCCTGGGCAGGCCTCAGAGGGCAGAGCTACGTAAGAGTCTGCCATGGGGTCAGTTCAAGGACATCTGTTCAAATGGGCCACACTGCTGAACAGTGAGTTGGGACCTTCTAAAATAGCAGGAGTAGGTGCCCTCAGGCAGACTAGGGGACAGTCCCCACAGGAGCCTAAGGGGAGAATGTGCCCACACAGCTTCCGGGGCCCTGTGGTGCTTAGTCATGCAGGGTCACCGTGTTCCCACGTGACCTTGTGCACCAAGAACAAGCGGAGTCTTGGGAATCAAAATGAGAATTGTGCAAATGGGGTTTTCTAAGCACAGCGTGCCCTTGGCTGAGACCAGGCCCAGCTGGCCACTTAGAAGCAGAGTCCACTGCTCCTCTTCCTGAGGTTGCCAAAGCTCTCGGGGCCTCCTGAGATCCTGCCCGGGAAGAAGAGACACAGCGGGCGTGTAGACGGGCTTCGGGGTGCGGCTGCAGTGGTGGCGGCAGCTGCTTTCTCCTTTCCTCGATGTGCCCCCCCCCCG